TATTGGGAATATTCGGGTGTAAGGAGAGAGAGAGAGAGAGAGGGGGGGGGGGGAGAGAAGAGAGAAGGTAAAGACTACCGTCGTTCCCGGGGCTCAACCAAACCTCCGTAATTTTTTTAAGGGTCAATTCTCATTATCTATTAAGATACTACTAAGTTAGCTCGTACTTTTGCTTTATTTTTTTATTTTTATCTACCTCTCCCCCTACCCCCACCCCCTCACCATCACCCTCACCCCTTTATAATGTATTCAAGGATAAAGTTTCGATAAATTGCATCGAATGCAAAACATAATTCGCGGATATTATATGTGACAAGTGCAGACGATTTTGAAATCGAAATATAATTTGATCTTGGCCGATTGAAATCTCAACGGCATCACAACACCAATCACGCACATACTATCTAAACGCAAAGCGAACGAACCTTTCTTAATATCCGTGTCTTTTCCATTAATCGCGCATTAATATCCATTAATCTCTTATCAAGATGAATAAGATAACAATATGTTTAAAAAATAATAATATTAATAAAGCGTTCGCTGAATTCGATGCTAAATGTTCGAATTTATCCTCGACATGTATTTTACAAGCACACCTCTATAATTTTCGAATTTTAACGGAAGGACTTGGCCAAAATGCGTCTTAGGTCCTCGTAAAGGTCAAAATTAAACAAAACTCGTAGTCCAATGCACTGTTTGTGTCTCTTGGGGAGTTATCGCAGCAGCGAAACACAGGGCCCTCCCTACAGAAGCCCTGATTAATAATGCATTGACCCTGGGGGTAGCACGTGGAAGCCCCTACGGGAGGGTTGCGGTAGGCGAGGCGCGACAGGAAGGACAGCCAGCTGTAAAAATTAGTTGGTTGATGAGGTAAGCGGGCTCCGCGAGGGTACCAGGGCACAAAGAGGAACGACCCCGAGCGGGTCACGTGCGAGGGGTTCGCCGAGCGTGGGAACAGTCACCTACGCCCTTTGGTTCTGTTTCTCTCGTGATCGATAGGAGCGTCGACACGACCAACTATCAAAACGAGTGTCGAAGCCATTCGGCACGAAGGGCAAGAATATCGTTTCCGACTCGCCCGATGATTCGCCCGCTCTTCTATAATATGGCCCAGGAACTTTGATTGGCCATACATTTCTCTCCGATCGATTCGTACGTACCTTTAACCGGGCCCCATCGTCATGACGACGACGACGACGACGACGACGACGACGACGACGAAGACGACGACGACGACGACGACAAACTGTTTATAAGCCCTTATCGATTAGGCCCCGGCACATTTCAACCACCAACCAGACCATTCCCATGAGCTTTTACATATTTTAAAGAAAATTTTGTTTATAATAAGGGATGACTTGATGCTTATTCCTTATTGCTGTTCCGTGCTCAGCATCCAAGTACACGCATCCTTGCTTTACTTTCCAATATTACTTTCATTAAAACGATTTATTATTTAAAGCATTAATCAAGGATTCAATACGCGCGTGTATGCACACGTGCCCCTACGAAGACTTTTAATTTTGTTCTCAAGCCCAAACGCTCCCTTTGTTCAATAACATTTTTTCTATATTTTCATATCGCCTACGTCATTTCGATATTACATTGCCGAATAATGCATTTCCGACATTCTATCCCGAAAATTCATCCACCACCGCTTTTCGTGAATTCCTCCACTTTTAAACCATTCGTAATATTGCAATTCATCATATTAAATTCACATTAAAGTATTAATAAGGATTTAAGGACCAAGCGCCTTATTCATTGCGTATTATTCATGAATTTATGTTAATCATCGGCTTCGACGGGTCATTTAATGTACCTACGGGAACTCATAGTCCGCATTGACCAAGTTATTTGCATTATAAGCCCGACGCATTTAACGGAACCGATTAAATAAATTTTCGACAACCCGACAATCGAAGCATTAATCATACATAGATCCTCGTAATTCGACGAAAGTGTACTCGGAAGTGTACTCGAAGCATACGGATTATGCGTATCCCGCGCGTAATCTTTTGCAAATTGCAAATTGCAAATTGCCGGAACGCTTAATTTTAGAAGCCATCAAGTCGCGATGGTAAATAGCGAAGGTGCGGGTAAGGTTAGTCCTCGCTGGAAAGTCGTAAGGAAGCATAAGGCCCACGAGAACGCGGGTCAACGGCTCCCACGCACGGGGTAGCGCTTGAAAGGGGGTTGCGCGACGAAGTAGACAGCAGGCGCTAGGTTACGCTGTGGGAATCTTCCAAGTTTCACACAGGTCGCTCCTCTCCATCCCTCCTGGCGATAACAACGACGAGGCAGCTCCCCTCCCTTTCCCAACCCTTCCCCCACCACGTAACCCCAATCGTCACTAAAATAAACGGGACGGGAGAGGCGTCGAGCCAGTTTCCCCGCGGCTTTGTTTCACTCCTTCGGCTCCCTTTGTCCTTCATCGTCATCGAGCACTTTTGACGCTGAGTTACTGGGGAAAGATAGAGTGGCATTGGCCTGGGAAATGGATGATTGGTATGCAATGGCAGGATATGTGCGTGTGGAATAAGGGGCGGTGATTACGCGCGTCTCCCCCTCCATCCCACCCCGCCCAATATAGCCCACCCTACGATGCACAATTTTCTCCATTGCATTATCGGCAGCTCGTCAAGAGGGAGCGTCGCATTATCGGGCCTCGCCTTCTGGACGCTCCAAGACACTAATCGGACGTAAGTTATCGTGGTAAGGTATCGAGGTGGGGCTCGGGCCCCTTCCACGGTGTCTTTGAGCCTCGGCCTCTCGATAATGCAAACCTCCTCGGCTTTTCGTGCTCCACGCGAGTCAGGCGGGTCGGAGCTACGAGTGCGACGAAGGGCAACGGACCGGAAAGATCGAAACTCCGATAATTAAGCGCCCGGTGCGCGGTCTTTGATTGCGATCAAGAGCCAACGCGGATGCTGTGGATGCAGAACGACGTTAAGTCATTAACGGCTTGACGCTTCTTTACACATTGACGTGAAATAACGTTAAAATGGTCGAAATTTTTACTCGAGGACGTACACGGGCGAAGGTTCATTCGCTCCGCGATGCAACGGACATTTTCATTTCAGCTCTAAGGCGTTGATACGTTTTTGTGTAGCAATG